CTAAAATCTTTTAGAATAACTTCTTCGTATGTAACGTGCCCCGGCGTAATTTGCGGCGTAATTTGAGTATTAACCTTGTTGAAGGTCATGGGAATAATATATCCCTGATGAAGCAATAACGGAAATGGTATACTAATCTATGAAACAATGCAATGCAATTCCTGGGAAAGGATTGAACATAGATTTAAAAAATAGCACTATARCTATTTTTGAATCATGACAGCAAATGTTAATAAATAGATTTCAAAATGTGTTTCAATTAATTAGTAAACTATTACTTTTTAAGTCAGGAAATGACTCAGTTTATAACATAGTCAAGCGTTTTCGCGTTGAACGTTTTCCCTATATTATAGGGATTTGCCGTTTTAAAGGGACTGAAAATAGTTTACGGTTTTTAAGAGATTTGTAGAATCAATATGCTTACGTCTACCATATCAAGTGCCTTGATTTGAATTCTTAGTGAGATCTCACAAGAAGTGTTAYTGAAACATTACAAAATTCAATCATGTACCATCAATAGTACTAAACATCAATCGGGATAGCAGTTTCGAAATTATAAAAAAAAACTCAGTTTTCAGCATTCTTGTAGCACTTAAATCTGCGACTAGATTTCTTGGACGTTTACTTATTACAAATGTTTTGTCAACCAAATTTAGCATTAATTTGGCTCAATGTGAACTTATTCAACTGTCACGTGATAGTACGTTTCCCTGAACTTCTAAAAAGTTTTTTTTTCTTGTTTTTTTTTCTTAGATAAAACGCACTCGAATTTAAGTCAGAGAAGTAAAAACAAAAACAAACCTATGCAGGGATAGCACGGGAGAAGTGGCGGAAATTAATTCTCATTTATTAAAAACGGAGTAGGTTTTTAAAAGAAAAYGACTTTTTTTTCATTTGTTTATGTTWGGAAYCAGTGAYGTTTATTCCAACATCGCGGCATTTTGTTAACCACTTTGTGGCATATGACATGGAACCAACTTCCGAAAAGAACGTTTTCTAAATGTTTTAAAGGTGTAGCGATATGATCCTTTTATCACAAAGATTGCGCAATAATAATGTCAGATTTGAAGCCAGTTAGCAAATCCATGACAAGAGTTTATGTTATTGAAATCTACTTGCAGTGTGGTTTTGTAATGTTTAAATTTCCATCCAAACCTGACCACTTTCCTGTGCTGGAATCACATAGCAAGTTGCGGTCTCCAAACAGACTGTAGTTGGTTTTACAGTTGAAAGTGAGAATGTTGTTGGCCAGGAAACCACCAATAATGTATCCATCCTCTGGAGKAGACATCTTAGGACAAAGACGGAGACCTGTCAAACAGAAAAAGGAATCACTAATTGCAGAGTTCAAATTGTGAAGCCTTAGTTAATGCATCTGAAGAACGGACGGTAATGACGTCAGATAAAAATTGAGATGAAATTTCATGCATGTCGATTTTGAAATAGCAGTAAAGCTTACCTTTGSCATAAAAACGAGTTAACGATTTACTCTCTCGTAAATAACGTTTTATAATTTGTCTGTGTGATATTTTTAATGTATTGTTGGCATAGTCCTCCCGTCTTCAACGAAACCTTTTAAGGTTTAAAAACAGCTTAATGGCAACTTTGGAAAAAAAACATTCTTATTGTTTGATTGCACAAGGTAGTCAATATCTCACCAAATCTGGGAAAGATGAAGAGCTGAGTTTTCCAAGCTATAGATATATGACAGTAAATTATCGGATCCAGAGAAACCATAACGACTTACACTTGAAAATATCGCGCATTTTAAAGGTTGTAAATTTGATATCAATATGACGTAAGTGTACACAATGATCTAAATTTGATCTAAATTCAATATGTTGTGCATCAAATTTACATAATTTTGAACATTTACATCATATTTACATGAAATTTACAACCTTTTATAGTGCGCGATTTTTTCCAGTGCTAATGGGAAATAATCTGCAGTATCTCCGATATGTCCATGTCGTGCGACATTTTTTAAACGCTATAGTGTAAATCAGATAGAAGAAAAGGACAAAAACCTACATGATGGAATGGAGTTGCTCCATGCACCATTTTCCAGACAAAGTCGGTTGGATGGTCCCACCAATTCGTAACCTGGATCACAAGTATATACARCCATATTCCCGGCCCAAAACTCATTGCCAGTGCGATAGCCATTCAGCGGTTTTCCAGGATCGCCACAGCTCATTAGGGCTATAAGAGTTGGAGAAATTTAGGAATTTTATGATACATTTTGCATCCATTCTTACGTGGCAGTGTTTGGAGTGTTTCATTCCTTCGGTTACTTACCTTTTCCACTTTAATCTTCGAAAATGCATTGTTGATAATTGGATGCATTGTTAATAAGTGATGTCATTATTGATTAGTGGGTCAATGGATATAGTACTATTGTGCCATTAAGGCTACATAATGGTGGGTTCCTTCATTCTTGGACTTACAAACTTGTATTGTAGTTTCGGCTGTTCCATTCTCGTAGTTTCTAAAAAAGCATTTGTATCGTCCTTGGTCTTGAGGCATGAACGRATCAATRACMAACTCGCCTATAGTTTCTTTATTGGTCTGGCGAACTGTAGTGTTTACAGATAAAGGTCGGCCATCTTTGCTCCACTCGATCGTTGGCAGCGGCGATCCAGTAGCTGAACAGTTCAATTTGACGTTTCTCATGACTTTATATACGGTCACATTATTAGGCGAGGATCAAATAAAAAGGAATAGATTAAGAAGACAAAAGAAGATCACTGAGGCTGAACGCTTTCTTTTGTCCTGTTTTAATTTATTCCTTTTTACTAAATTCAAGTGCTCTATTTTCTATGACAACGTTTCTGCAAGTAGGTTTATATCATATATCCATAAATGATAATCATCGGTACTCGCATATGAAGACACTTCAGTTTAACCAAAATTAGTTTATTTTGTTTTATGTTTTTCTGCATTTTAATTTACATTTTTCAATATGACGTTGGTTTTAAGGTAAGGCTCCATTGCTGTACTAAATTGTCGAAACTTATTCTTTTCAAATATTGCTTTCGGATCTTTGTGAATTCTAGTATGTTCAAAGTTTTGATAAATCTTTCTATATCTATTGGTTGGACTAGATAGCTAGGCCGGCTGCTGGCCGGCTTTAGTTCTATCTTTAATTCCATCAATCTATCTATGCATCTATTTTGGTATTATGTCGMGTTTGTCCCACAGGATGCCCAGAAGTCACATGTGCTATATCCAGTGCTAAACTATATTACCGTCTTTTAATATCATTTGAGAAATAAACCCAATTTTTTAAAACAAATTTTATTCGAATTTTTCATCTTTCACGATGTAGATATCGTCTTGTCCGTCCGTTTTGCGGTTAGAAGATAAGAGGTAGATCGTAAAAATAGTAGAATACCTCTTTCGACAGTACTTCAGTAAATATTTGCACTGTCATTCAGTACGTCGAGCGTTCACTTAATCAACACATTAAGAGAGTAAGATGAAGCACAATTACCTCCTCTTGCATCTCCGAAATCACATTCGACTCTAGTATCTTCAAATGATGCATCGTTAGTCTCCAAGCAATTGACTACGCTCGTGTTCCTAAGCTTGCTTCTCTCGTGTTTTTCAACTCCTACCGTGTTTATATCAGAGGACAGAGACACAAGCGGCCGTTTTATATTTCTTTTATAACAGAGACACAAGCGGCCGTTTTATATTTCTTTTATAAAATTTTTCGAGCGAAAAGAAAATTTTGCCGGTAAGCCGTGTCTCTGTCCTCTGATATAAACACGGTCGTCAGCCAATCAGAGCGCGCGTTATATATCAAAAAATTTTATAAATATAAATATATTCATGAATGGAAAAGATCAGTACTCGCATATGAATACACCACAGTGAACCAAAATTAAGAAAATTTTTATTTTATTTTTATCTTTATTTCATTTGTAAAAATGACTTTATTTCTAAGGGTATGTCGTAAAAAAAATCTTTTTGAGTTAAATTATAGCATGTTCAAAATGTCGTATATCTCTTGATATTTATTCAATCGGTTTTTATAAATTTTGCTATGATCTTTCATTCTAGATGATCGAGGCTCATTTTCTATAATCAAAAATTGGCACAATATGAAATAAGTCAATGGCATGCAGYTCTATTAAGTAAACGTTTCTCTTTCGTTTAGGAAGTTTGTCGAGTTTTCACTTAATCCACAAATTAAGAGAATAAGTCGAAGTGCAAACCTCGCCTTGAGCATCATTGCCAAAATCACATTCGCCTCCTCCAAAATCTGAAAATGCGGCTGCGTTAGCCTCTGTTATTGCAATGCCGTGATCAGCTCGATTACACCCTGACCCCCCTCCACCAATCATCATCACTGCGCCATCACCTTTATCCCAATCACACCAGAATCCGATGTAATTACTACTCTGTATATTGCTACTACACTGGCTTTGCGAAAAACCATTTGTCGTCTGATAGTTTCCCCCGTATGACACTTGGCAGTTAGCACGACACTGATCGCTTGCCCATGCCGTACCATACGTAAAATGGCCGTAGCTTGAGATCAATGAACGGAAAGTTTGAGTAGAAAAGCAGTTTGAAACAGTCTGCAGCAAGGCCGCGGTCTGGTGAGGATCATCAGAGCGAGTGATCTTGATGTTGTTACCTTTCACTAGCCAGAAGGCTGCAGAGATCATGTCTTGGTTCACACCTGGGTTATTGACGTCTCCTTGTGGAGTTGTAAGACTGTACCACCAGGAAGCATCGTCTCTCATCCAGTTCTTTGTATCGTTATTTGAAAATCGAGCAATAAGAGTCCAACCTTGCGTGTCTCGGTAGTATACCTGTAGAAATAAGTTTGCAGTTAATGCTACTGGGGTCTGATATTTATCGGGATATGTAGATTGTGTATTGTGCTACAATTAAAAATATTTTGGTCGCACGTGATTTACTCCAGATATTTTTCAAATACAAATTCACTGTGGATACTTTTTTGTTAATAATATAATAATATCTTTATTTCATTCCTTTCGCAGTGTAAAGGGAGAAAAACACTGAATTATAGGAAGAGAGCAACACTACAATTAGGGAGGCATAGAACGCTTAACATTATTACTGCATTATATCAGTATATTTTACAGACACAAAATCTTTAAGTCTTTCAGTTCTCGTAATGTTTTTTATAATTGGAGGTTGTCTTCAACTCGTAAGAATGGCTGATTTTTGTTGTCCTTGACTTAATTAGACTGCGTACAGGATCATTCACATTCTTGATGTATTTTTGGTACATTCTGCGCTCTTCCAGTGATGGCAAATTAAACCTACTGAGTGCATTGTCATAGTACAAGGCAGACTTATGATTGATAGGGCGTGTTTTTGTCCTTTTTTCACAAGAGCAGAGAGATGCTGAGGGATGTTGGAAAAGATCACCAAAAACTATTCGAGAACAGTTCTACTGAGCGTGCAGTATATGGAATAACAAGATCTTTGGAATTGACGTCACTCTCTCTCGGTTAGACTCAAAGCAAGCAGTGCTTTACACCAGAATTAATGGTTACGATGGTTATGTTAAGCTAAGTTTTTAGTCTGATAAAACACTACTACTACTACAAACTCGCATTGTATTTGTTGCCGCCGAATGTAACCCTATGACGCCATTTTCTTTGAATTTCCAAATAATTTCAATTATGTTTCTTGATCACAGTGATTTGCAAAAATTCCGAACGATAAGATATGTCGATATATCTGGTGCATCATTGGTAATTTCTTGTGCTTTTCGTGTTTTCTCGCATAATCTGTATTTTGCTTATGAAAGGTTATTCAACACAATATGTCGTTGTATGACAAATTAAAAAAAAAGGAAAATTTGATAGAAAAAAAAAATTGATATATTTCAATAAATTGGCGGCTAGGATTTCTTCAGACACCTGCAAAGTGATTTAGGTATAAAAAATGAAAAGTCTTGAAACAATGACTTCAAACTCTACTGAAATACCTGACTGATTGAGCACGTACGTCCATCTCCTTCAAATCCCGGTTTACACCGGCACATATATGATCCAATTGTGTCGGTACATTGTGCGTTAACGCTACAAGAATGAGCTCCTGTCGAGCACTCGTCAAAATCTGAAAACAAAACAGACAAGTCTTTCTTTGCAAACTTGAATCCGAGTATTTGAACTTTCTCTAATACTTTTTGCACGTTGGCTTAGATTGGCCCTGTGCTTTTTTTTGTAGCACGTGCATTTTTGCTCCTGCTGCGGCGCTTTCGGCTATTTAGGCATAGCGTGCGCCTAACAATTGTTTGACAGAAAAAAGGAATATTATGCGCTTTTATATGAGTCATTATCTATACATACGAAACAGGTCTGTACCAATAAATCAATGGATCATATTCAAAGCGTTTAGCTCAGTATTTTATGTATTCTATTATACATCACTATATTTTTTTACTAATATGAATTGTAATCCACTGGTTTACCTCGATTTGTTTATTTGTCTACTAGCGTAAAGAGTGGTAACTACATAATTGACGGTTTTTTTCGTAGCCGCACTTTAAGAAAGTGTTCTGAGAGATCATTCACTTACTTTTACACTGGGGGTTTTCAATGATAACAGTTCCATTCCAATTTGTCCAGTTTCCTGTTTTAGGATCACATAGCAGTTGATGATTTTCACGGATCCAGTAACCGGTATTACACTTAAAAGTTAAAGTGCTGTTGCCAAGGAAATCACCTACCATGTGCCCGTTCACAGGAGGAACCATCCTGGGGCAAAGTAGGAGACCTGACCAATGAAAAATAAATCCATATAGAAAATAGTAGATATTTATGGGTGACTTGAACGAGCAGTCTTCAAGTAATGTTTAAAGGCCAACAATGAGGACTTGACGGGGTTTCAAAGTCCGCGCAATTAGTTCCAGTCCGAGGCGCTAGCCGAGGACTGGAACTAATTGCAAGGACTTTGAAATCCCGTCAAGTCCGAATTGGAGGCCTTTGAACGACTTCAAAAACTCATTAATTATTCGGGAGGGAAAAAAAGCGAAGGAAATACATATAACAGAAATATATTGATTTATTGCATCTCCACTAAGGTTTTCAGTTTTCATAATTTTGAATACATGAAGCACCGTTTCTTGTTCTTCAATTCCCGGACGGCTTTCTGAAACAAAAGCTATTCAAATTGTCTTTGTCTGCTATTCATGGCATTCCTAATGAGCCTAATCCATAAGATTTATAAGTATGTTATCTTCCGAGGAATCGCATCAGAAACTCGGTGGTAATGGTATAAGACGGCGCATATAGACTGGACGGTAGGGGATCGAGTCGTGAGGGAGTCATGTATCAAAGACCTTTTTTCACTAAATTAATGTTAAACTGATTATTTCTAATAATTTGATTATCATTAGCTAGTAGTAGTTGGAAACATGGTAGAAGTAACTGGAAATAAGGTAGAAATAGCTGGAAATAAGGTAGAAATAGCTGGAAATAATGTAGAAGTAACTTGAAAAAGGTAGAAGTAACTGGAAATAAGGTAGAATACAAGGTACGAGTACTTCCTCTGGTTTCAAGTTACTTCACGTGGTACAAATTACAATCAGGGATTGGCTGAATACCTCATGAATAATTAATGAGTTTTTGGAAGATAGGTCAACACTCGAACCAAGTTGAGTTGGTCATGTTTTTGATTTCAAAGAACACGATAGTAGTGGATAAGGAGCAGATCACAACAAATGACTTTTCCTTGAAGCATGGCATTCGGGCCGAAACTACAGATAACAATACCTGACACTTCCAAAATCTTATCAGGTATGCGTGTTTAATCTAGAATCGCTCGTGCTAAAAATTGGAATTTTAAATCGGTATTCGTGTATCAATAACAACGGATTTTGTTCACATTCTAGCACTGATGAAGGTTTGAGATAGAAGACCAGCTTATATCTGATTAAAATTATGTATCTGAGCCAGATAAAAAAACTTAATCTGAATAACCATGAAAATCATGATACGTTTGATAACAATAATGAGGAACTGAGTGAAGATGGCTTTATAAAAGCCGAAAAATAATGTTTGGAACTTTAAGATTAAAGCCATTCATGCCGAAGAACTCTGAATGAGCACGAAATCGATTTATCGAAAATGGAATTCCTATGTATTATGAATAACGGTCAAAGCAATGCTCTCAGAAGATAAAGGGTTGGTTTTAAAAAAGTGCGAGATAAATCGTATAAAAGAATACCAAACCTACATGATGGAATGGAGTCACTCCATGCACCATTTTCCAGACAAAGTCGGTTGGATGGTCCTACCAAGTAATAACCAGGATCACAAGTATAAACTACCATATTTCCAGCCCAGAACTCATTGCCAGTGCGATAGCCATTCAAGGGTTTTCCAGGATCGCCACAGCTCATTAAGGCTAGAAGGGATGAGGAGAAACTCTTAAATTTTATGATACATTTTAAGTCCATTATGGACATTGTGTTATATGGTGATGTTTGGAGTGTTAAATTACCTACTCAATGCTGTAACGTTAGATAGGAACCCTAGGGAATGGTTTCATTTTTTGAATGAATTGGATGCAGTATTAAGTGGTAGCGCAGCATTTTTGATTAGTAGGTCAATGGATATAGTAGTATTGTTAAATTAGGGCTGCATAATGATAGGTTTCCTCATTCTCGGACTTACAGACTTGTATTGTAGTTTCGGCCGTTCCATTCTCGTAGTTTCTAAAAAAGCATTTGTATCGTCCTTGGTCTTGAGGCATGAACGAATCAATAACCAACTCGCCTATAGTTTCTTTATTGGTCTGGCGAACTGTAGTGTTTACAGATAAAGGTCGGCCATCTTTGCTCCACTCGATTGTTGGCAGTGGTGTTCCAGTAGCCGAACAGTTCAATTTGACGCGGCTCATGACTTTATTTACGGTGACGTTATTAGGCGATGATTGCACAATGACAGGAGCAACTGGAAATATAAAAATTGGTATCAAAAACATCAGGAAAAGGACTAATTCACTGAGAATTTAAATCTAATATGTGTTATTAGAAATACAAATTTAACACAAGACATTTAATTGCTACTTACTGACAGAATAAACATTTAGCACTACTATAGCAAGTTCATTTCCTTGGTCATTGATTCCTTTGCACATRTAGGGTCCCTTATCCTCTCTCTTTGTATTCATGATGGTAAGGCGGTTACCAGTTTTTACATGGCGTCCTTTAGGCATGACATTCTGTGGGCGTGTCCACTCAATCCGCGGAGGAGGAAATCCAAATATATTACATGTGATGGTTGTGTTCCAGTCTTCGTAACCAGCGAAGTAAACTGGAGGTAGAACCACGAATCGTGGAGCAACTATTAAAAAAGCAACGATAAGTTTTCAGAAATTTTCTCATACTAATTAATCATTCATGATGTATCCAGCCCATCCCTTATTGTTATTTCAGTGCACCACATGCAGTAACTGGAAACCAGGGGAAGTACCCCTAGCTTGTATTTACCAGTTGTTTCCAGTTACTTTTACCTTGTTTCCAACTACTGCTATCAAATGATTATCAAATGTTTAGAAATACTGATTTAATATAGAAATAATTTAGTCAAAAAGGTCTTTGATACATGACTGCCTCACGAAAGGAGGCAGCCGTCTTATACACTTACACCACCGAGTTTCTGGTACCATTCCTCGGAAGATAACAAAGACAAAGGCAATTTGGTTAGCTTTTGTTTCAGAAAGCCGTTCGGGAATTAAGTACAATAATCATGTATTCAAAATTATGAAAACTGAAAACTGAAACTTCTTTTAGATGCATTTCCTTCTCTGGAACTAATAGCGCGGACTTGAAATCCCGTCCAGTCCTCATTGTCGGACTTTAAACATTACTTAAAGGACGCTCACAATTAAACTAGTATCACCTTTCTCCTCGTTTTTTTCAAGCCCCTGATGTTTGAAAGAAAGATCAGAAATGTAAAGACTTTGAAAACATCACTTCACATTAGATTAATGAATTTTATACTTCTCAGAGCTGAGCTTGAACTCATTTGAATGAGCAAACACTATTTCTTTGAAATACGTAGACACATCCCTCTAAAGACCCAATTGAGACTATAGTGTAGTGTTTTTCTCTGACTGACATTACCGTTTACAACAAGTTTCATTTTCGCTGTTGCTTGACCAATGAAATTCTTTGCTTTCAATAAGTAAACCCCATGRTCTTYGAACTTKACATTGYTTATTCGTAGAGCACCAGTGGCATAGAATCGCTCGTCTACTTTCTTGTTRTCTTTGTACCACGACATTTTAGGAAGTGGAAAACCAGAGGCTTTGGACGGAATGACCACATTATCGCCTTCTTTGGTKACAAGAACAGATGGAGGTCTTTTGGTTATTTTTGGAAGAGCTTTCGAAAAAGATTAAAATGTACATGAGCTTGTACATGTTTTACATGTATTTACTATTGAATAGTTCGTGTTGATTTAGATTTCGTTCTTGTCAAATACCCACCAAGGGAATAGATAATCGATGAAGCTTTTCCAGAGGGCGTTCTTCCTGGCACTCCCCTCGGTCCCTGCGGACCTGGTAATCCAGGCGGACCTTGGATTCCAGGAGATCCACGAAACCCTCGTCTACCACGTCTTCCTCTATGTCCGCTGGGACCCTTCGGGCCTTGTGGACCCGGTGCTCCGGGTGGACCTTAAATTATCAAATAGAAATTTTTCTCTCCACAAATAAAATMYGTGAACAGTTTTTTTAAAGAAAAAATCATACCTCGGACACAAACTTGTTTACTTGTTCCTTTTGACGATTTTAACTATGAGATAAATAGAAGTTTTATTAATGCACCCTGCCTTTTATTTATTCATTCAAAGAGGTCACAAATTTGGCGAGTCTGTCATCTTGTCATTTCATATGCACGACATATTAGATTTCATTAGAAAGTTCTAGAAAATGTCATAACTATATTTTCATATCACTTTTCAATTTGGTTATTTCAGAGAGGCGGACAAATGTTTCTTTCCTTCACCCTGTTCAGAATCAGTACATTAAGGCTTGATAGAATATTTTGTTCTGGTAGATGACGTATTGTTTTACACATACAAAAACGAAATCGATCGTTTGAATTGTATCCAAAAATACCGCGAAATCCCTTGTCTATTTATTAAAAGTCATATTAGACAACATACGTATACCTTCTTGGATGATCCAGACGAGAAGATTTGCGTACAGATATCTCTGCATTTGGTACAAGCACTCGTTGGATCTCTCGAGCCATTGTTAGCCGCTCTTGGCAATCGATTTTTATGTACATCAACGTCTGACTCTGTTTTCTTGATTTGTTCGCATCGAACGATTCGTTCATCCAAAGTATGCACTCTGTAAGCCAAATACCCCACAGACAGTATTGTCAGGGCTAAATTCAGCAATACACCAAGCTGAAGTATACAATTCGTTTTAGATTTTCCACTGCCCTCCATGACTTTATGAATATGCCAAAACGTGCATATCTTATTAATAATTATAAGAGTGGAGGTCATTGAAATAGTAGGACTGTAACAGCAATAGCGGAAGTTAGCATTAGATTCTCGTTGAACTATGAGTAGGAAATAAATGTAATTGAAGCCTTATTTGGTATAGACCAAAGAAATGTCATGTGAAGGCTAAAACGTTTATCGTTTTGGATCGACTTTGAACGAGTTGCAACGTTTCCAGAACATCAAGTTCAAGTTCAAGTCTATTTTATTTTTTGCGTATGCGTTACATGAATGATGGGTTGACCTGAATATAATAGCGTAGTGATTTTTCGAGGCCGTCCAGACACATATACATTTTGACCATTGAAAGGGAAAAGTGGAACGATTTTGTTTGTATAGCCTACATTATCATATGAAAATGAAACGATATAAAGAAATCTGAAAAAAAAAACCCAGAGCTTAGCGTACGAAATCATATTTACTAGTTCGACATGAGTGCAGTCAGGGTGGGTGTGTCAGCATAAATATCTTGAAGAAGCAAGATATCAAGTAACTTGCTCTGTAAAGTCTTTCTGAATTACGAAGTGTCTCAAAAGACTTTAGTTCACACAGACCACATCACAGCATAATAATTGTCTATCTGGCTCCCCCATAACGTACGTAATAACATGATAATATTCACAGCATAGCTTAAGCTGTTTTTATACGGTCTCATTATTATATTCACTGTGATTACATTTCCACAATAACATTACAGCGGAATTCTTTGTATCGCAACGCAGCGCGACAAAACTAAGATGAGAATTTGGTCTTTTCTGGGCCGTCAATCTTCTGTCGTCTGTGAAGCGCAGCTTCGAACAAGGTGGTCTCGTTTACAATCCGTTGAACTAATGTCTTTCAAAAACCACAAAGTTAATCTAAATACTACATTTTAATCCATGAATTGTCCACATTTAAAAGACATAAGCTTATGCTTTTTTTTCGGGTTTGTGCTAAAATTAATACGACAAGTAGCGCGTTAAAATTTAAAAATAAAATTCATTATCATTAGTTTTATTTTGATTATGATTATGATTATTATTTTCCTCGTTCGGCAACAAAATGACTAAAATCAGCGCATGCGTACGCAGGTATKATAGTAGTAGGCATGCGCACAAWGAAATGTTGACCCGAATTGTCCACTTCAATATATGCCGGACAAGCGTTTAGAAAATGCGTGTTCATTTTGGGACGATATTTTCCCAAACTTGGAGAGAGATTACTTTATGAGCAATATATAACGAGCGAATATTACGAGAACACCCTTTCAAGGGAATGTATTGAGTAATATGCAAATATCTATAAAATATTTCTCAATATTACTCGAAATCGAACAGAAGAATTTTTGTTTTCAACTATTCCAGAACGTTGTGCAATAGTTTTCTGGATCTGATCAATTTTTTGAGATATTTGGCAAAAACGAATTTCGACAAAATGCAATTTCCGTTGCCTAGGTAACTTAATGAAGCTAAATATTATGCCAGACAAAACTTTGGTCAATGCTTTCATACTGATCCAAACACCAATTAAATAGGTAGCTACCTATGAGGTATATTCTGATACTCTCAAAACGGTTATAGCTGTTGAAGTTTCTTCATAACGTAGCTATGAATACGAAAAAGAGAGTATAGAGAATCAGTCTGTTTTAGAACGGACAACACTACACCTGGACACTTTTCAACGAATTTTGTGTATATATTACAGTACATGTATAATATACAATAAATATAATAAACAGTATAGCTAGTGAATAACATGGCTGTTCAAAACAACGAAAAAGCATACATTAACCAGTGATTGACTCAAATAGAGCCGATTTCGTATGAGTGGGACACCGTTACCGCACGGTTACCGCACAGTTACCGGACCTGGCCTGCAGAATTTTGGTGAAACAATGGGGCACTAGAATTTGGTTACAGTACGATTACGGACACAGTACAGAACTGTCCGTTTCCCACTCATACGAAATCCGCTCTATGCATTTCGTGTTTACGTGACCTTTCAATCGAGCTATTTTTCATATAGTCTGACAATTATATTCCTCGTCCTCTTTTTCAGAATTATAATGGCCTTTAAAAGCTTTCCTTTAGACTATTACAACCTTTCTCTAACAATTTTAATATCTAAAAAATAACATTTAAGTAGACTTTCTGATAACTCATCATCTGGAACTTATTGTTTATTCTGGAAGATGCCGCTCACCGGGCCGTGAAAGGTTGCAATGTTAATCACGGTGTATTTAGAGCGAAGTTCGTCTGCAAAGTCGCGGATCGTAAACGCCAATGTCACGCAACTGGTAGTGAYTTCAAATATAAGTATATGATGTTCGAATATAAATCTTCTTTACTAAAATACAGTAATAAATGCTCATACTTAATGTTGTCGCATAAACCGAAATCGCGCGCGTGATCCGTTTAGCGAGGGTTGTTTACCAAAGGTAGTTCAGTGAACGAGAAATTAATATTCATGTCTTTGCTCGTTCCCTTCGACTTACTTCGTGACGCCACGCTATTAAACCTGAGGCTCTTTCATGAAACAAGCAAATMAACAATTTTCAAACAATTTCTTTAAGGAATCTTTCAGGATTTTTACAACCTTTAACAATTTACTATTTACATTTTACAATTTACAATTTACGCATTTTTCAACATTTTGTTTCAAATCTTCTCGTCACCTGTTCTTTTGAAAGAGACTAATTATATCTAAATATATTCGAGATCAAACAAACAACCTTTCTATAGAACAGCTCATGAAAGTGAGATGAAAACGAGGCATTGTTGATTAGAAGTAGTTTAATTTATAATAAAATGATTGTAAAAATGTACTTTTATCAAGATATTAAAATTTTACACCGCTAAGACGAGCATGCGCAGAGGGGTAAGAAACTGTTTTGCATGTATATTCCGTATATAAGTAGGTCTTGTAAAAGGATGAAGCTTCGGAAGTTATTTCTAACTTTTTTTTCCATTTTCCTGATTCTTTACCTTGGATTTTCAGTAAAGTGGGCATGTAAAAAGGTAATACGAAGCGGCCAGTTTTTAACAAGAGTGATTATTCACATACTAGAAACTGCTAGTGAACAAAAGGAGCGTGACTTTGCCATGATCGCACAGAATCAATGGCGATTATACCAGTTACAAAGCAAATTYATGACGGAATATTGTAAATCGTTAGCAGTTTCAAATCGTACAGACTACCTTTGGTTGACAGCGCTTGTCAATGATGAGTACGCCGTTCCAGCGGTCATACTTGGCCATTCAATAAGACGTCTTTCATGTATACAGAATATGATTGCATTGGTCTCAAAAGAGGTAAGAAAAGTGCAATATAGTTTCTTCTTGATTAAGAGTAAATTTCTTTAATGAATTAACAGTGTACGGTTAAAGAAATCGTTCCA